TTAAATTTTTATGAGCGTTTGAAATTCAAATTTTTACAACATTGGATTTTCACTCGATTTCTCATGTAGCGATTTCCTTATTTTGTTGTAATTCAAAAACGAATAACTGTAGATACATGAAAATTTCACTGAATGTTTATATTAGCATTTCATATACACCATACAATTTTGAAAATATTTTGACTCTTTTTGAGCTGTTTATGGACATTTACAGCTTTCAATTTTTTTTAGTTTTTTTTTCTATAAATATCAATAAAGTTTTATCTGTTGGGCCAAAAAGTGTAAAAATTTAATACAAGGCTCCTGATATATTGTTACAATATCAGTTGAAAAATATTAAAAATACATAGGCACGATTTTTTTTTATAAGCATTTAAAGTTGGAATTTTGACAAAATTTATCAAAATCTCTAAAATTATCAATCGTTGGAATTAAAAAATTATAAAATGTTCAGTTTTTATAACTAAGAGTTGAAAATTTAAAACAAAGATTCTCTTAAATAATTCATACTGTAACCAAAAAATCTAAAAAATATATAAACACACTTATTTTTTACAGACATTTTAATTTCAAATTTAGACAAAATTTCATATTTAAACCAAGAATTACGATTTTAGTTATTTTGTTGTGATTGAATAATACTATTCGTGGGTACTTGAAACTTCTAAAGTGTACTATTATATATCTATGATAGTATCACGGTTTTTGTTGATGTATAAAGCGTTATAAGTATCTAATGGATATTGTGATATGATTAATTTGGAATTTATTATAGGTACCTCTATTATAGGTCAATTTTTTGTTTAATACCATACATATGTATATAATATGCCTTATACATAGACTGACATACCATCAGTGGCGGCGCCAGAACTTTAATACCAGGTGGGCCAGGCTGGGGCCCAAATTTTTTAGGGAGGGCCAAATTGTTGACTTGATATATATATATATAAACAATAGTGATGACAGGCAATTTCGCAGAGGGGTAAGGGGGAGGGTCAACTTCCAATTTTTTTTACACTTCATCGTGTAAACTTACTAAAACAATGATTTGTAAACATGTATTGTATTAATAGTATTTATTTCCTAACAAAATATATATTCATGTAAACACTTTTTAATTTGTATACTCCCTAACCCATAATTACACTCAATACCAACGAATATTTAATAATAATTTATTATTTTCGAATTCAGCCTCTGGAAAATACACATTATTTATGAGGCTTGAAAGCATATATAGAGCATAATTGTCAACCCATTCAAAATGTTGTTCACGCCATCTATTATGACTTAATATTTTCATATTTTAATAAATCATGATTTATTCATAAGATATTTTTTAGTATTCTAATATGATTAAATTTAATTTTTGGGGTGGGCCACAGGGGGGGCCTGGGACTTTTTAAGGTGGGCCCGGGCCCACCCTGGCCCACCCCTGGCGCCGCCACTGCATACCATCACCGCTCAGAATCGTTTTTCTTATACAATGATATTATATCATTGAATTCAAATTTAATACCATCCATTATACAGTGACCCACTTGTAACCTACTGTACAGCAGAGCGACACCCACTTGCCCACCTTTTAGATTCTGAGTGAAACGATGAATGTATTGATTTTACAATGATGTGTGTTTTTTTATTTTTTTTTTTATTTTTTTTTTTTTTTTTATTTTTTTATTTTTTTTTGTGTCTGTCATCACGTTTTAGGACAGTAAAAATGCTTGGATTTTCTTCATCAGTAGCTTTTCTGATAGGAAAGTGAATCTAGTTGGTACTTTGGGGGGTCAAAAGTATAAATTTTCCAGTAGTTTTCACAAGCGCCGGGAAAAACAACATAAAAATTAAGGAAAAACGGGAATTTTTACGCAAAATTCGTTTTCCAAAAAATCGATTTTGGTTTTTGGTGTAACTCTGAAACAAATGAACGTATATACATGAAATTTTCACTGGTTGTTTATATTTGCATTTTCTATACACGATAACATTTTCAAAATATTTTGATTTATTTTGAACTGTTTAGGGACATTTTAATTTTCCATTTTTTTTTAGTTTTTTTTCTAAAAATATCAATAAAATTTTATTTGTTGGTTGCGAAAGCTTGAAAATTTAATAGAAGGCCCCTAATATATTGTTTCAAAGGCAGATAAAAAATATTAAAAATCCTTAGTCACAATTTTTTTTTATAAGCATTTAAAGTTCAAAAATTGACAAAATATGGAAAAATCACGAAAATTAGCAAATTATTTTGAGTTAAGAATTCGTCAAAATTTTTCTTTTTAAATCTAAGATTTGAAAATTAAACACAAGATTCCTTATAAGTTTGTCTACCTTTATCAAAAGAAAAATGTCTATAAGAAAGTCAAATTAAATTTTTATGAGCGTTTGAAATTCAAATTTTTACAAAATTGAATATTCACTCGATTTCCCATGTAGCGATTTCCTTATTTTGTTGTAATTCAAAAACAAATAACTGTAGATACATGAAAATTTCACTGAATGTTTATATTAGCATTTCCTATACACCATACAATTTTGAAAATATTTTGACTCTTTTTGAGTTGTTTATGGACCTTTACACCTTTCAATTTTTTTTAGTTTTTTTTTCTATAAATGTCAATAAAGTTTTATCTGTTGGGCAAAAAAGTGTAAAAATGTAATACAAGGCTCCTGATATATTGTTCCAATATCAGTTGAAAAATATTAAAAATACATAGGCACAGTTTTTTTTTATAAGCATTTAAAGATCAAATTTTGACAAAATTTATCAAAATCTCGAAAATTATGAATCATTGTAATTAATAAATTATAAAATGTTCAGTTTTTATAGCTAAGGATTGCAAATTCAACACAAAGGTTCTCGTAAATAGTTCATACTGTAACCAAAAAATCTAAAAAATATATGAACACAGTTATTTTTTACAGACATTTTAAATTCAAATTTGGACGAAATTACATATTAAAAAACCTAGAATAACTATTTTAGTTATTTTGTAGTGATTGAATAATATTATTCGTGGATACTTGAAACTTCTAAAGTGTACTATTATATATCTATGATAGTATCAAGGTTTTTGTTGATGTATAACGCGTTATAAGTACCTAATGGATATTTTGATATGATTAATTTGGAATTTATTATATGTACCCATTATAGGTCAAATTTTTGTTTAATACCATAGATATGTACATAATATGTCTTATACATAGACTGACATACCGTCTCCGCTCAGAATCGTTTTTCTTATACAATGATATTATATCGTTGAATTCAAATTTAATATCATCCATTATACAGTGACCCACTTGTAACCTACTGTACAGCAGAGCGACACCCACTTGCCCACCTTTTTTTTTATATTTTTATATTTTTATATTTTTTTATTTTTGTGTCTGTCATCACGTTTTGGGACAGTAAAAGTGCTTCGATTTTCTTCAATAGTACCTTTTCTGATAGGAAAGTGAATCTAGTTGGTACTTTGGGGGGTCAAAAGTAAACATTTTCCAGTAGTTTTCACAAGCGTCGGGAAAAACAACATAAAAATTAAGGAAAAACGGGAATTTTTACTCAAAATTGGGTTTCCAAAAAATCGATTTTGGTTATTTGTGTAACTCTAAAACAAATGAACGTATATACATGAAATTGTCACTGGTTGTTTATAATTGCATTTTCTATACACGATAACATTTTGAAAATATTTTGATTTATTTTGAACTGTTTAGGGACATTTTCATTTTCCATTTTTTTTTAGTTTTTTTTCTAAAAATATCAATAAAATTTTATTTGTTGGTTGCGAAAGCTTGAAAATTTAATAGAAGGCTCCTAATATGTTGTTTCAAAGGCAGATGAAAAATATTAAAAATCCTTAGTCACAATTTTTTTTTATAAGCATTTAAAGTTCAAAAATTGACAAAATATGGAAAAATCACGAAAATTATCAAATTATTTTGAGTTAAGAATTCGTAAAAATTTTTCTTTTTAAATCTAAGATTTGAAAATGTAATATAAGATTACTCATAAGTTTTTCTACCTTTATCAATAAAAAAATCTCTACCGGAATGTCAAATTAAATTTTTATGAGCGTTTGAAATTCAAATTTTTACAACATTGGATGTTCACTCGATTTCTCATGTAGCGATTTCCTTATTTTGATGTAATTCAAAAACGAATAACTATAGATACATGAAAATTTCACTGATTGTTCATATTAGCATTTTCTATACACTGTACAATTTTGAAAATATTTTGACTCTTTTTGAGCTGTTTATGGACATTTACAGCTTTCAATTTTTTTTAGTTTTTTTTTCTATAAATATCAATAAAGTTTTATCTGTTGGGCCAAAAAGTGTAAAAATTTAATACAAGGCTCCTGATATATTGTTACAATATCAGTTGAAAAATATTAAAAATACATAGGCACAGTTTTTTGTTATAAGCATTTAAAGATCAAATTTTGACAAAATTTATCAAAATCAACACAAAGGTTCTCGTAAATAGTTCATACTGTAACCAAAAAATCTAAAAATTATATGAACACAGTTTTTTTTACAGACATTTTAAATTCAAATTTGGACGAAATTACATATTAAAAAACCTAGAAAAACTATTTTAGTTATTTTGTTGTGATTGAATAATATTATTCGTGGGTACTTGAAACTTCTAAAGTGTACTATTATATATCTATGATAGTATCACGGTTTTTGTTGATGTATAACGTGTTATAAGTACCTAATGGATATTTTGATATGATTAATTTTGGAATTTATTATAGGTACCTACCTATTATAAGTTAATTTTGGTTTAGTACCATAGATATGTATATTGTATAATGTATATAATATGTCTTATACCTAGACTGACATACTGTCTCCGCTCAGAATCGTTTTTCTTATACAATGATATTATATCGTTGAATTCAAATTTAATATCATCCATTATACAGTGACCTACTTGTAACCTACTGTACAGCAGAGCGACACCCACTTGCCCACCTTTTTTAATCTTGCATCTTGAAAGATTTTTTTTGCAGTTCCGAATTTAAAACTTCTATTCTCTCAAAAATAAATATCATAATTTTCAACATAAAATAAAAATCAAATTTATAAAGTAGTTTCGAAAGTCCACTAGCCTTAGCGCCTATTTCATTTTTTTCCTTGGTCAGCTCATCACGAAACGTGCGAAGTAAATTATAATTTAAAAAAACTGGAAGATTAATTTTGTTTTCATCAGCAGTTTTACAGATTGAACAGAACGCCTTTTCTTTCACGGGGTCATATAACAACCACGGATATAATTGTAGCCATTTTTCCTGAAACTTCCTTGATTTTCCAAGTTCAACTTGTTTTTTAGAATCTCCATTATTCGAATCAATTTTTAAGACAGAAGTTGAACTGTTAAAAGCCTCGTTAGATTGATCTGTTCCTTTAACTGATTTTTTTATTAACCACTTATCCATCTTGATAGGTATTTTTAAATATATAAAAATAACTGTAATAATATTATAAACAGTATAACGCAGCTGACCGAACGCAGACTAATTATACTACGGTAGTACGGTCTACACTTTAGTGCTCTACAGAGTAGGTAGGTAACTAAATATAATATCGTTATCGTCTCAGTCGTCGTCGGCGGCACGGCCAAAATAACAAAAAAACCCAAAACATATATTATTTGAAAATTATCATTTCTACATGTATTATAAATGTATAATATTAACGTATTAAATATTTATATGTTTTATTTATTTCATGGGGTGCTCAGCACCCCATGTAATTAACCATGGGGTGCTCAAGCACCGCAGCACCCCAATAGTCGGCGCCCATGACTGTGTAGGTGGTACGTAGATATAAACAGGTTGAGAACCGCTGAACTTCTGAAGTAGATAAAACAAATATTTAAATCGGCAATGTTACAATGATTTAATAACTTATCAAAACATATTATTTTCTAAATGTCCAGACAGCAATTTGGTCGCACATACCTATCCCATTAAGTACTCTAATTTAAAATAAAAAAACTGAACATTTTTGTAGGTACTAAAACTTTTGTGTCTTATGTGGCATTCTATATTCAAGAGGATCACTAGCATAACTGTATAAGTCATCAATAGTTTGCTCTTATGTTTCCTTGTAATGTATACTGACATACTGTCTTGAAAAAAAAGCAAAAACTAAATTACTATGTCACAGTAGTAAGTATAATGATACTTACTATGATATATTATGATTTATGTTAGTTTCAATTAGAATTTACATTCATAATGTTAAAATTAAATTTTATTAAAGGCTACACTATAATTATTGTAGCCATAATAGCTGATGTACAAGTACAGCTAAGTATATTTAATCCAGCTTATTTTAGTTTTGTTTTAAATAGGCTAGACCTGGGATCACCAAATGGTGGCATGCAGACAAGAATAAAAAAAAGTGAAAACCGTTAATATTATACATTCTAGTATTATAATTTATAATTTTTGTTAATTTACTTTTACCAATGTCCTCAATTTTGATTTTTGATACTATTTCTAGATTCCTAAAGTGGCAGTTCAAAAATATGAATTGGTGATCCCTGCGGTCTAGAATGTCTAGTTCAAGAACATTCTAGATGGAAGGGTTAGATATAAATTCTAAAATGCATGTTTGAAGCTGCTAAAATAATATAATATACATAATAATATCAAAATTACATAGTTGGATATTAATGTATTATCTTTGTATTTCATATTTTAATAAATTCTATTCCACACTAATTTTATCCTACAAAATATGAAAGTTGATTTTTGCATTAAACATAACTTTATCTATTTTTTTTATTAATATTACTTTTTACAATCATAATAATACAACACCAATTAAGTAATTTAACAAAAATGTTAATGTAGTAAAATTTATTTAAAATAAAACAAAACAATAAATATTCTATTAGTATAAAAAACAAACATCAATCATATTAATCATTCAAAAAACATTCCAAGTTCTCATACTCGGATTTAGGACTATTAGTCTTCTTTTTATTCTTTTTTTCACTTTTACTCTTGGCTTTTTTTTCTTTTACCTAGATTTTAGACAAAATATATTTGTTATTATTGTTACATATAGTTAAAAAAATATTTTATTTATATGGAATATTCTAGCAGTTATAATAATAAACTGTATAAACAAATCTATATATTGTAAGTGTTACAAAGATGAAACATGATCATTAGAATTTACAGATGGCAGGTATATCTTGCTTACTCTTTGATATGTAAATATGTAAATACAGCCAAGGTTACACAACTGGGAATCATACTATAACTCTAGAATTCCTTGTAAAATGTATCTTTATTTATTGGCTTTCAATTGACCAAATACAAAAGGTCATAGTTTTAGCACGAACACTTTTTAAAAATTGTTATCCTCAATTTTATTCTTTCATAATAATCATTTTACATAGTAACACCTCTATAAAACTTGATTAAGTTTTATTAATTCTATCATTAAGCTATGTATACCCCTTAATATTATATATACAACTAAATAATATAATATTGTGAATTAAATTTTATAGTAGTTTAAATTAAAAAGTGGAAGTCACTGCTGTATAATAGGTTACAAGTGGCCAGTGGGTCATTGTAATGTATAGTGTTAAATGTGAATTCAATGATATAAAACTATTGTATACGAAAAACAATTCTGAGAGGAGACTTCGAGGCGACACAAACTGTCAGCTTATAATATCACTAAGTATATTTGATGATACTATTGTGATTAAAGTAATTTATAGGCATTAGGCATTAGTACAACAGTAAGTTAAATTAACTTTTGCCATAAAAATAACATTCGAAAATGTCATTACGTGTATAAAATATAAAAATATAATTTAAAAGTTTTATATACCCACGAATAATATTTATAAATTACAACAAAATAACAAACATTTTTATTTTTGCTTATAATATTATGTAACTTTGTCCAAATTTGAACCTATAATGTCTGTAAAAAATAACTGTGTTTATAATATATGTAATAAAAGGTATAATATAATATATGTGTTTATTATATTGTTTAGATATTTTAGTTACAGTATAAACTATTTATGAAAATTCTTGTTTCAAATTTTCAATCCTTAGCTAAAAAAGTTGAACATATTATACATTTTTAACTACTACTTTCCATTTTGATACATTTTGTCAAAATTTGAACTTTAAATACTTATAAAAAAAAATCATACAAATGGATCTTTATTATCTTTATTATTTCTCAATAATATCTTACATTACCTTTTTACTAACATTACTTAATCCATCTACACGTTGTTTTGATTCTTCATCTTCACCGCCCTCTGGTCTTGGTCTTGTAGTATTTTGAATAGAGGACCAATTGTTTATATCATTTGATTCAACATTGTTCTTTTCAATCTTAAGTTAATAAAAAAAATTTTAATTACTATTTTAGGTATACTTTATTATTTTTAAAAATGATAACAGTATAACTATTAAATACATTTTAAGTGTTTCACCTTAATTCTATCAATATCTGGTGTAAAATCATCAGGATCTACATCTGCTTGATAACCAGCCACCATTGGATTTCCACAATCATCGTCACTAAAACAACAAGAATTTATTTTTATTATATAACTGATTGTGTTTCAACTTTTCAAGACATAATATTTTATTCTCAGGAATCATAATATTGCTAAAATATTATCCTAAAAATACAAGGCGGCCTAAGTAATAGAAATGGAACACAGATTTATAATGTAGATAAAACAAGTCTATTTTCTATACTCATGTAGATACACTGATGATTGTTTTTTTTTTTTTTTTTGTTTACCTATTTTTCTGACCTAATTATCTATATATATAAAACTGAAGTCAAGCAAAAGAGGAAATCTTTGTTATGGTTTGGCTTCGAAACTTCTTATCCAATTGTCATGCAGTTTTTTTTAAATGAAAGAGGATATCACGGAGCAGATTTTAGGCATAAATAAAGTCCGATAATGTTAGTCAATAATTAGTTATCTATACATATAAAATCCAAATACCACTGACTCACTGATCGCTGTATCTCAAAAACTACTCAACGTACGGACTTGAAAATTGGAATAGAGGTTCTTCTCATATTTTCAGCCAGCAATAAGAAAGAATTTGCCAAAATTAGCATTTTAAATAGGTGCTCAAACAAGGACATTGAGATTCACGATGGAAATTAGAAATGTTATTTTTATTTATTAATAGTTGCCATTAGTTACAGTCTACAGTAGAAATTAGCATTTATTTATTGGTTGCCATTGGTTATTCGGGCAGATCAGGTACAAGCTTGCATTAAATTGAATTATTGAACATTGCCTACCAGGGTGGCTGAGTTGCACTTACCGCAGCAAGAAGTTACACCCAAAAGGAGTTCAACAATCATAATTTTTTTAAGAGTTGCGATGTTTTACGAGCAACCAAATTTGTTATATTAATCCACCGTATTATATCAAAATAAACTTGGTATAACTTTGATACTTTAGAGTTAAATCATACACTTCCGTACAAACAGCGCAGGTAGATTGCCTACCTGATAATGTACTGCTGCAATTCAGAATTTTTATCCCGGGCAACGGAAAAGATAAGATAAATTTTGAACACCATACACCGAATATTGAATAACGAATTGAAAAAAGTTTGAGTCAATATGAGTTGATACATTTAACGGGCGACGAAGTGCACAGGATCAGCTAGTATTATATATTATAATTATATTATATTAATTATTTTAAATATTTGCACTGTAGATAGATTTTTTCTTTAATTGTATTAAATTAATTTTTACAAATTGAGTTCTGCAGGTCATGTAGGAACTTTATATATATTAGCATATCAAAGATAATTGTGGAGTACCAATTCCAAGGGCTTTGTGCTCATTCAGTAGAACTGCAGAAGGTCACAATCAAATGTACTAATTAAATACTTTTCTAAAATCAGTTTACATTTAGATAAATAAATCATGTATTTTACCTTTCATCAGAATGTATCTCTGTTTCTTTAGATGTTTTAGGAACAATATCCCCATGACCTGAATCTTCTAAAAATGATTTATCTAATTCGTCATCAGGAACAAAGTCATCTAAGTTGTTAATATTTATTATCGAAGGAGTTTTTATAAGAGGTTCTTCATTAAGTATGTTGACATCTTTCCCTATAAAACAAATTAATTCCATACTTGTTCTTAATATTTATTATTTCTATTGAATTATTGAGAACACTTTACTTAATTCTGTTTGCACTACATTAGACTTATTTCCAGGAAACATTTTTTGTGCAATATCTTGAGTTTTGGAATCTATAATTTTTGAATTTTCTACTGGAGATTTAGCTTCTTTTATATTTGGTGACGGTTTATTTAATAAAGGTAAAGGTAAAGTAGGGGCCACTGATTTATTTTCCGCATCAGCTCTTCGTTGTTTAGATAATCTAGATAAAAACCTAAATACAAAATTTTAAGTAGGTACTTCATTATAGTTATTGTTTTAAATAATATTACAATTTAAACTATGAATAGCTTACTCATCATAATTTGCTTCATTACTCTGCTGATAAACATCCAACTCCATGGTCATAATTTTTGTTTCACTTCCATTTGTTTCTAAATGATTTATTATGTTTTCCCGTTGGAGTTGCAAAAATGAAATACCAATCCATTTATAAATTAGCCGTAAACCAAAACCATTTGACATTGAAACTTCAGCATACCGAATAGGTGTACCCCTAAAGTAACAAGTTTCAAGTTTATTAAAAAACAGAATTTAATTTCAAAAATTAATGATTATCATTAAAATACCTGTCTAGAGTCTTCAGATGATAAATAATTTCCTCCCCATTGATACTTCGATGATGGTTCATATCACAATGGTTACCTAATACTAATACTGGAATATTATCTGGAATTTTAGGAAGTTCATTGTATACGTAATCCAATGTCCTGAAAATGTTTAATCAAATCAAAAAATGTAAGAAAAACAAAATTGTAGATAACGATATTTGTAGAACGGAAAATGTCAATCACTGAGAAGCTTTTTTTAAATTTTAGATATAAGTTGTTACAAAAATTAATTTTATGGTGCACGAGTAAATGGAATTAATTTAATTTTCGTAAAATAATTACCAATTCATTAATTCATGCTGAGCATTTTTGATTTAATTTAAAATAATATTTAGAAAATGATCAGTGTTAAATTATATGGAAATTGTTCTTGGCTATTTATTATTTACCTTAGGAAAACATAAATTATTCACTGAATTATCATAGTTATTCATTCTATGTGAAATGAAACAAATTTGTGTTTGGTCAGTTAAATAAATATACTACATTTGATCTAGTTATTTCAAAATAATGTTAATACCATCTTTTAGTGATATCCAATACTAGTAAGACACCATTTGTACAACGGTAAACATCAACTAGTTCGGCATCTAGAACTGGAGTATCTTCTACTGGTATAGGAGATAATTTAACTTTATCATGCTCCGTTTTTAGAACATCACATGACCTTGAAGACGATAATGGCCGTCTTTTTCCTTTATCAACTACATCCCATACTTCAACTTTTACAACATCTTCTGTATTCTTATAATTCCATTGAATATGAGCAACCTTAAATAAAATAATTATAACTGTGTTTAATTAGTAAATATTATAGTATAGTCATACTTGGATTTCGTCTGTCTCTTCATAATTTGCTAGAAATGGCTTTCCTTGTAAACGGTTCCACAAACAAGTTTTACCAACATTTCTATCTCCTTTAATAACTAATTTTACTGAAAATCATAATATGTAATCAAATAGAATAACAAGTTGGAAAATGAGGAAATTAAAAATGAATTCAAATACTAACAATTGTATTGAATTCCTTTAGAAAAAGATCGTTGTAAATCCTGAGGTAATGCTTTAGGATGAGAAGTTGTATTAACAGTTGTATCTTTTTCTACGGTTTTGTTTGCCAAACGTTTCAGTGTTGAAAACATATTTTTGTGGCTTCTGGACAATTAAAAGAAAAAGTAATTTATATTAAAAAATCAATAAAAGTTTATAATATTCATCGTTAATTAAATTATTTTTAAGTTTTTGTAGATTTAGTTACTGATGAAGTTGAATAAGTCTTTCCCAAAACACGAATTTACATTTTTTCAATAATGTTATGGAACATTCAAAACAACTACCCTATAATTATAATGGTATTACTTATCTGGAAGTTATAATAAGTAACTGAATTTACAACAATGACAAAATGTGACAGTCCACAAGTGTCTACACTCTACAACAACTTCGTTCTTACTTACCCACTATATCACTACAACTATCAACTATACCTCTACTATAGTCACTACTCAGTACTCACTACTCAGTACTCAGTAGTCGGTACCACTAATCACACTATCACATATCTTTATTCTGTAAATGTTTATTTAAATATTGTTTTGCTCTGATGGCAGAACATTGAATTATGATAAGAGGCACGATGATAATATCATAGAACAATCAACAATGACAGAATTATTTTGTTACGAACAATCCAACTGACCCAGGTACTTTGGTTAGATTAAAGAATAGTACCTACCTACCTGTAGTCAATAATTAATAATTATATGCATGATTAAATATTTATTTAGTCATGCTCTTACGTCCATCATGAAAATATGAAATTAATAAATAATAATATAATAGGTAAATACATCGAATACAGGACATATCACATATTATAATATATAATATATAATTTATAAATCAAAACAATTCTATAAGAGTATAATCAAATTAATTACATTTTTTAAATGGATTTTTTTTACGAATTCCATGTTTGTTTTCTATTAAGGTTGTCGATTGTTCAAATAGGTATTAATTTAAGTTGGGAGGGACGACGATCACGGCATCGTAGGACGAACGAGACCCCAGAGCGGCGGACTCCGGTCGGCTCGCCAAGACGGGCACGCACGTGTTTTCAAGGGCGGCGGACTCCGGTCGGCCCGCCAAAACGACGACCTTCCAAAACCTCCGAAATTGTAAATTTTATATAAACTGTAAAATGTCATGTATAGAGGGGGGGTAAGTCGGGGAATTGTCCCGTCTACCCCCCCACGTATGTATGTATAATATTGTTCAAATTTGTTTCAATAAACGATGGCGGCGTCGCGGAAGAATGCGAAAGCAGTTCCCGCGACGCCGTCGGTTCCAAACTGCAAAAAAAAAAAAAAAAAAAGGTATTAATTTAAGTAAAAAAACTGGGTGTCGCTCGCTGTACAGTAGGTTACAAGTGGGTCACTGTGATGGATGGTTTTAAATTTGTGTTCAATGATATAATAATAACATTGTATAAGAAAGACGATTCTGAGCGAAAACGGTCAGTCGGCCAATGATATTACGAAGTTTGATGATATTATATTGTGAATAAAGTAATTTATTTAATATAACCTATTTTATATTTACATGGAACCTTGTTTTCAATTGTCAATCGCCAATATTTTGCTGTAAAAATTGAACATTTTATAAATTTTTATTTTTTAACTACAAAATAATTATTAAATTTTAAATTTGAATGCTTATAAAATAAAAATTGTGTCTATATATTTTTAATATTTTTCAACTGCTATATTAAGCAGTAAGTATATCAGGAGTCCTGACGTCCTGTATTAAATGATGACGCTTTTTGACACAACAAATAAAATTTTAAAAAAACTAAAAAATTGAAATTTGAAATTGTCCACAAACAGCTCAAGCTTCAAAATGAGTCAACAATTTTTCAAAATTTTAAGTAGTCTATCTAGCGAGAGATCGCGTCGCAAAACGAACCAAAACTGGTTCCCTTACGCAACTGCACCCTGCCATAGGAGAACCGGTTTTGATAGCGGAAGGATGCGCAGAATCAATGAGTTTTCTCGCTGGACACAGTATAGGTCATAGAAAAAAGATCATAGATATAGGTATAGTAGGTACCTTACTTAATTTGTTTCACGAAACAGATACTCCAACGATGAATTTTTATTTTACATATTAACAATCAAAATTTCATAAAATTATTAAAATAACAGTTTTTTTGTTCAATGTATGTTTTGTAAATTATTTTAAGTTTGTTGGAAATTATAATTTAAGTAGTAACTAATGACATTGCGTTAAAAAAATAGTCTTGTAACAATTAATAAAGGCATTATTGCAGTAAAATTAATTTTTGCCTGTTTTAGAGCATTTATCGATATTGTTTAGAGTATTCAAGATTTCAAGCCCGGATAAAAAAGGGGGGACTGCAAGGAGGCCACAGACTACTTATAGACTATAGTGTACACAGACACAAAAAAAAAAATTAAAAATTAAAAAAAACACACACATCATTGTAAAATCAATACATTCATCGTTCCACTCAGAATCTAAAAAACTAAAAAAAATTGAAAACTGTAAATGTCCGCATACAGCTCAAAAAGAGTCAAAATATTTTCAAAATTGTATGGTGTATAGGAAATGCTAATATAAACATTCAGTAAAATTTTCATGTATCTACAGTTATTCGTTTTTGAATTCCAACAAAATAAGGAAATCGCTACATGAGAAATCGAGTGAATATCCAATGTTGCAAAAAATTAGAATTCCAAACGCTCATAAAAATTTTATTTGACTTTCTTATACACATTTTTTTTTTGATAAAAGTAGATAATCTTATAAGGAATCTTGTAATACATTTTAAAACCTTAGATTTAAAAAGAAAAATTTTTACGAAATCTTAAATGCTTATAAAAAAAAAACTGTGGCAAAGGATTATTAATATTTTTCATCTGTCTTTGAAACAATATACTAGGAGCCTTCTATTAAATTTTCAAGCTTTATTAACCAACAAATAAAATTTTATTGATATTTTTAGAAAAAAAAAACTAAAAAAAAATGGAAAATGAAAATGTCCCTAAACAGTTCAATGTTCAAAATATTTTGAAAATGTTATCGTGTATAGAAAATGCAAATATAAACAACCAGTGAAAATGTCATGTATCTCTACGGTCATTTGTTTTAAAGTTAATCCAAAAACCAAATTCAATTTTGCGTAAAAATTGCCATTTTTCCTTAATTTTTCTTTTGTTTTTCTTGGCGCTTTTGAAAATTACTGGGAATTTTAAATTTTGACCTACCCAATGCACCAACGATATTCACTTTCCAATCGAACAAGATACTGAAGTTGAAAATCGAAGCATTATTTCGACTACTTATCGTGTACACAGACACAAATAAAACATATAACACCCGTCATTGTAAAATCAATACGTTCATCGTTCCACTCAGAATCTAAAATGTTGAAAATGTTATAAAAAAATTGACGTTTTTCAACGTTTTTAAGGATTAACAAGGAAATTTTAGATTGTTAGAAGCAATAAGCTTTGATGACGATACATTGTAATGTAACACAATAGCGTAGACTGAAGGGGGGAATCAAAAAAAAATAAAAAATGACAGCTAAATGGGAGGGGAAAATTGAGAAATCCCCCAGGCTCCCAAAACTTTTTACTTAAGTAATAAAAATTTAATGGGGGAGATCTGATCCCCATGTCACCAATTGTCTATGCCACTGATGTAACATTAAATATAAATAAAATTGTCAATATTGTTTTTAAAAATATGTATAAAAATTAATTTACATATTTATAAAATAAAATTGAGTAATCTTTATCTGTTTTGTTTATGAAAAAGCACTTGGCTTCCTAAAACAATTTTTAGTTACAGTTATGTTAATTCTTTTCTCGACTAGAGGTAAATTGGCCCATACTGAAAATAATTCCTATATACGCCTCTGAATATTTATTATAATTTCACTGAAGCAAATGTTGGTATTAGCAGATGTAGAGAGTATAGTTTTGGGAGTATTCTGATTTCTGGGCCTGTACAATTATAAGAAAAATATTTAACGATTTATCCACAATGTGCATTTTACTCCACACGAATAACTTATAATTTATGTTTTGGAGCTTTTATAATCTGAAACCTTTATCACCTAACCTTTATGACAATTTAATATAATTAGGAATAACAAAAATAATCAGTCTCTCAAAATGTCATACTTAAATCACTTTTATAATTATTATTTACTTGTATAGAAAAAGAAAAACATTTATTCAGCACAGTGGCGTCTGCAGGGAGGAGGCTAAAGGGCTAAGCCCCCCCCCCCCCCATAGCCCGTATTATTATTACTTTTTCAAAAAAATATTAATCAAGTTTAAACTGTAAACTATAGTAAATCTCATATGTCTTACCAGAATGAATTAATTTTTGAAAAAACATTGTATTTGCATACCAATTTTCATAAATTTTCTGTAATTTTTTGGTAAAAGTATGAACCACTCAGTGGCGTAATTACGGGGGGGGATTTGGGTGTCGTATCCCCCCCCCTTGACCATTTTTTTTTTTTTTTTTTTTTTAATCGTCAAACACATTTATGTACTAATTGTATTAATATATATTTCATAGATAATACAAAAATCACCCGAATCTCCATAATATTATACAAATATATAATCATCCATCAATATTATCATATACAGTGTGATCACGATTTTAGGTACCACTGAATATCACAGATGGATGACTTTGTATTGAAATGGGGTTTTCGGGAGGTGATAGAGAGCACTTAAATACATATTTTCAGACCAGTTTCAAATTTTTAGCTCACTCGGTACGCGCATGCCGCATGCGCAATATTACTTTTTTTTAAATGGCAATCCCAGTTTTTTCTGCAGATTCAGGTAGAGTATTTATTTTTGAACATTTATGCATAATTCGTGTTTAATGATATTTTCATTTATAACCAGTTGAAATAATAAAATAAGAGCCAAATAAATGTTTAATGGCGGACGGAAATCGGCCACAACCGACGCCTTAGTCCACTCAGCCACCCTCCCCCCCTAATCAAACATTTATTTGGCACTTATTTTATTATTTCAACTGGTTATAAATGCAAATTGCATTAAACACGTATTATGAATAAATCCAAAATTTGACTTTCTCTAACTTGGTAAGTTTTATAAATAGAAAAACTTTCAATACAAAAAATGTTTAAAAAAAAATACTCTACCCGAATCTGTAGAAAAAAAGTGGGGTTGCCATTTAACAAAAAGTAAGTCAAATTGCGCATGCGCATACCGAGTGAGCTAAAAATTTTAAACTGGTCTGAAAATATGTATTTAAGTGCTTCCTATCGGCTATCACCTCCCGAAAACCCCATTTCAATACAAAGTCAGCCATCTGAGATATTCAGTGGTACCTAAAATCGTGATCACACTGTGATACAATTATATTCTTTTAAAATAGCCAAAATAAGATGCTAATATTCTCTTAAAAAGTTGAAAATATTCTTCCAATATTCTTTAAAAATAATAATAAAATATGCAAAAAAAAATGTTTTTTTATTAAAATATTCTCTTGAACTAAAAATATGCATTTATATGCAAAATAATTAAGCAAATAATACGAACTCATATAAATAAATAGCCAATAGGTACATAATATGCAAAATAATATAAAAACCTGATATAAATAGGTACCTACATAATAAAAAATACTACTTGTTAAGAAAAGTTTGATTTAATATTTAATTATTTTAAATTTTAAATTTTTAACTAAGAAAATGTTTGAAAACAGTTGACAACTATATTTTCTTCCATGTTCCCTGATGTCATATTCGTACAACGGTCGGTTAAAATGTTTTTATATGTGCTATTTATATTATTTAGGCCACTGCAACAAAAAATATCGAACATCTACAAAAATTAATCGATATATTCTCTAAAATTTTTTATTATACGAAATATTCTTTTATCTTGAAATATTCCCAAATATGCAAAATAAACTTTTGCCATTAACTCACCTGTTTCATGATTTGTAAAGATTTCGAACCCCCGTCTGACTGCATAGACTCAAAAAAAATATGCAAAAGAATATAATTCCTGCTACTAGTTATTACATACAGATCATAATGGTTGTATTCTTGTATTGAGGGGTGCTTATTGCTTATAGCTTATGCCTTATACGGTTAAAAAAAAAATGTTGAGGGGGGGGGGGGGGGGGGGTAATTGGTGAAATGTACATACATTTCATCCCCCCCCCACAACTATGACCAAATTACGCCACTGGAACCACTTGTATGAAAAACGTTGTTTTAAATTGTCTAGCCTTAGATAATATACATATTTTATATTTTATAAGTTTTGAACTACAAATTAACCGTGGTTTTGATGAAATTTGAACTTATAAAAAATAACCATGGAGCCTATGTATTGTTAATATTTTAGCTAAAATAAAAAAACTTACGTATTACATTTTTAAGCTTTTTGACTGGATAAATAATTTTTTATTGACATTTATAGAAAAAAATTTTAATTAATCAAATACAATTCAAGTTAAGACGGTATAACCATTGATTATAGAATAGACTATATTCTATAATCAATGGTATAACCAAGCTTGTTACCAAACAATTTAAATACATTTTCATTTTTTTTCTCCAATTATTTTTAAAAGCACTAAGAATTTTCAATTTCGACCTCCTAAAAGTACTAACTAGATCCAATTTGCTTTAAAAAACATACAGTGGGCATCGAAGCTTATGATCAAAGCATTTTTTCTACCAGAAGAGTTGAAAAGTTACAAACATTTTAAAATACCCCAAATAAACGTCTGCAATTATTAGACTGGACAAAATAAAAATTAAATTGTAACTAATTTTCAAGCCCCCCCCCCCCCATTGAAAAATCCTGCGGACGCCACTGATTCAGCAAGTTACTGTTTATTAATTTAGAAAAATGTCCTATTAAACGCTAAGATAGATATTATATAATGTGATCAATTAAATTATAAAATTATTAATTAAACTAAAATTTAATATATTAGGTATGTCTAGAATAATATTTCTTAGACAAGCAATCAATCAGTGATGTTTAAAATGTAAATATATTCATGAAAGGATGTTTGAATTAATATGTGAATATTTTAAATCAAACTATTCTTTATTTACTAATTCTACAATTAATACTAACTGTATAATTGTTCTTATCACAACTGTATTTTAACATGTTTTTTTCTTGAGTAATTCAAATTTATTTTGTTTAAACATTTAAATAATCAGATTTTATAAAAAAATACTTTTTAAAGTTTTAAAGCAAATACAAATAGTACAATATATTATAGTTAATATTATATTAAATAGATAATATAATATAATATGATATGTTTATTTAAAAAATATTTAAGTATTTAAAAGTATTTAAGTATAAACTTCTGGTACGACAATTACAAACAAACACTTTTTTTTATATATAATATAAATCTTTATTGCCACAAATGTAATTTGAAAAAATCTTATGCATATCTCTATTAATGCTAAAAATAAAATTACAACGATAATTGTGATAGTATACCAACATATTATTATAGTTACCACAAGTCATTGGCTATAGATCTATAAACCTAATAATAGCTTAAAATAAATTTATTTTAAAAGAGTAATCTTAATTTAAAGTTAACATTTTTACAATACAAATAAATTGTTGAATTGTTAAATTCATATATATTTATGCTGTTAAAATATTACTTTTAAATAAACACTCTGAAAATGTAAACTACAATAAAAATAGAATTTTTTTTATAAAACAAGGTGCAAGATCTTACACAGCACCTAAATTTAAATAAAATGAAATAAACCATATCAGAGAACACATAATATTATTTGGTAATGTTTGTAAAGACTGCATTATTACATTTTACACTTTTACTACATATAATAATTATTTAAGTCTTATACATATAATTATTTTATAAAATATATTCTCAAATACTTTTCTTGGTTTTAATAATCAAGATATATTTGTAAACTAAATTATATGAATTTCATAACCAATAGTAAAAAGTTTCATATTATATTAAAATATGTTATACATCTGTAGACAACCGCTTGGAAAATGTTGCTTGAATAAATCGCCTGGGTACATCAACATCTTCTTTGATGTTAACCGTCCTTTTACACACATACTTATTAGAACATTCAACGAACCCATTAGTTTCCATTAGATTTTGAAAATATTCAATCGAGAAAAAATATGATCTGCAACAATTAAAAATATATAAATAAATATTCTATAATTAATTTTAAAAAAATACTACTCACCTTGTACCGTCTTGACGCATGTAAAAATTGTCTGCTATCTTGTGTCCTGGTTTGAATCTCAGTTGTGCCATGTCATAAATTCCATAGTCTCGAAATAATAATAGTCCTCCGTATTTCAAGACTTTATGAATATTTGATACAACTGTTCGATGATTGTCTGGATGAATAGCTGACAATACGAATATGGCAGTCACCAAATCCAAACTATTTTCTGGGATTTTGGTGATCAATTCGTCCGTAACAATATCACAATTAAACGCATTAATGAATGATGGATCATAAGAAGGATTTGATTTCAAGCATTCGATAGCTCTGGGTGAAAAATCACATGCATAAAATATAGCATTCAATCCGTCAGCAAGAAGTGGATATATAAAATTGCCAACCCCACACCCAATTTCTAATATATGTTTTTGATGAATATCATCTCCAAGCAATTCAGAAAACTCTCTGGTTGTCCAGTGCCTATCTTTGAAGAAACGATTTCCGTTATTCTTATAGAAAATATCCCAATGTTTTTTTGAATTTTTTTCAATTTCTTGTGCTTTGAATGATGACACCATCCGTGAATTTTGTTTGGCAAGAATAGCCTGATCATGTTCACTTAATTGAACTGGGTTGGTTGTCTCTTCTTGATATCTACTATTATTATTGCTACAGTCATCCATCTAAAAATTCCATGCACAATAAAATCACATAATATATTATATACTTAAAAGTACATACTTATTTAATTATATATATATATATATATATATATATATATATATTAAATTTATAATGATAAATAATGTATAATATATATTTATTTTGTAATGAAAAACAACAAGATAAAACTTAACTTATTAAGGAAAAATAAAGCTATAAAGCAATTTGAATACATAAAAAAAAAAATCCATAGTGCGTTAATAAATGGCTTAATCGAATCTTACTATACTATATAATTTGGATTTAAGGCTTATCATTTTTTTATTACATTACTTTATCTGTAGTATATAATTGGCATTACAAAAGTTGTATGGAGATTTAATAACAGAAAAGTTACACTTTCAAAATAAAACCTAAAACATATTGAGATCAGGGGATTCTTTAAGAAAAAAAAAGGTATTGGTTTAAAATCTTATTTAATGAGAAAAAAATATAAATTGCATGGTCGTAAACAGTAACAAAAAAAGAAACTAAAATAATTGATAGTTAATTTGTTTTTAAATTACAATTTTTATATACTTGCTTATTATAACATGAATGAATTTTTACAAATATTTATTAATCTAAGCAACCGTCAAGTTTCTTATAAGAACAAAAAGGGAACTTTTAAACATCATAACACGGCATTTAATAACATAGAAACCTGTGAGGATATTTTATTATAAAACTATATATGATAACAGAGCAATAATACTTCTATTATAATCCAGAGACTTAAGGCTACATGGTATACTTTCACCATTGTGGCACAAATTATTTTTAAAAATTAATTGTAATTACGTCACCTTTACACCCATTATTTTTAGGTGAAATTCCAATACATTGTAAATTTGTTTTAAACATGAATATACATATTTTCTTTATTGGGATATACAAATGCTTGATAAATGATGAACTCTATAATTAAGACTAATTAATTTACTAATCTCGGTTGTCTATTAAAATGTAATAAAAGTTGATAGAGGATATATATTATGTTTCAAAAATAAGAAAAACATAATATAGGTAATTTTTAGATTAAACCTATTGTACTGTTTTGAGACAATTTTAACATAGTTTTTATAGACCATTAATAAAATATTACTAAATTAAACCTAAATTTACAAAATACGAATGAGTTGTTCTTAAGATATGGTTAATACAAACAGCATTGTGAATTTTGAAAATTAATTAAACTATAATAACAAATTAGTTGTACATACAAAAAGGCAGAAAATACTTGCCCTAAAAAGCAAGTTGACTTTTAAAGTTAAGCTCTAAATTTATTTGATTATATCTATAAGTATTTAAACAGTTAAATATCTTCCATACCAATAATTACCAGATTGTTCAACATTGCCAAGCATATAAATTTCAAGAATTTTCTGGACTATGAACATGTATAAATCTAATGAAAATGGGTTTAAAGTTTGACGTATTACTATTATTATAATTGTAGTTCCTTCTATGAATATCACAAATTAATTTGTTGTCCTTAATAAAAATATCTACACAATTAATTCTCCAAGTATTGTAAAGATGTGATCAACATAAAAAAACCTATAAATATCTACTTAATTTTAACTAAAATTTAAGTAAATTAGTGAAAACAAACGAAAAAACTGGATACATAATAATATTTATAATTATTAATTAATTTTAGTTAAAAATGATGGCTATAGCTCCATGTCTTGTGCTTCACTTTCACTAAACTCCGACATAGATGATTCATCGCTATCTGAACCAGCATTTCCATCATCTTTGAGCGCTTCTTCTGTAGCATATTTTTTTACATATTCTTCAACACGCTTTTTATACTGTTCAGGTTTATGCAAATACAAAGCTGCAGCATCACCATTTAATGGATCTATTGGATTTGGATATGCAAGCAGCTGGGGCAGAAACGACTCAAAAATATTAAGCAGGTCATATAAAGCAGTCCAAGCTTGGTTGATTACATCGAGACAAACAGTACCAGATACTTCATCAATGTTTGGATGGTAAATTTTATTAATAAAGCCAATTGAAGGAGATTTAAATGGATAATGTTCGGGAAGATGAACTCGAACTTTCCATAAGCCACCTTCGTATGGAGTACCACGTGGTCCATAGAGTTTAACACAAAACTCATTCAAGCCGTTTAAAAGTGTAACCTCATGTTTGCTTTCTATCAGTTTTATGACATCTGTGTCCATACGGCGCTTGCCGGCACTAGGTGAAGACATAGCAGTTGGCAGAAGTGTATACCAAGTTTACTGAAAAATATATTTATATTTTAGGTACCGTGATACCCATCTATTTAGAAATTACAGAATTACACTATGATTAAAATAAAACATTAAGTAGATACCTAATGTTTTAGTTTAATGTATGTATGTATTTGAAGAAAAAAGTTATAGTAAATCCAATAGGTCACTCTGTGTTGAATTTAATAAAAATAATACAACAATTCTTCATTATCATACATATTTTACATTGAATATTTTATTAACTACCAAAATGAATATTATTATATTACCTACAAAGTTTTATTAAAAATAAAGATCTTTCATAACCATTTTTCTTTTGGTTAGATAAATAAGATAAAGATTCCAATTGTAAACAAAAAAATGTACCTAACTTTCTATCAATAATTTTTGTAATAAATAAACAAGTTCTAAAGAATACGGAATTTAAATATAAACACCAAAGATGTGGCATAAATGCATTACTTAATATTTGAAATTAAATTATTTAATGCAATAACAGTAGAGGTTTTAGTCTTACGGACGGTTCATCCAGGTTAAAAATCCAGTCCAGAGACGTTTCGTTCTTGTCAATTATTAAGATAGGACATTTGGCCCCTGCGAGTTATAAGATGTTATTTAGCCATAGTTTACTTATATATTTTTAAAAATTCAATTTTACTGATAAATATTATATTGTAGGCAATGAATTTAAATTTAATAATTATATTAATTAGGCTAAGGGCCAATCTTACAATTTCCGGTCAAAATTAACCGGCCAAATTCTGCAGGTAATAAAATATACATTAACCGACACTTTGCCAGACATTGTAAGAATGGCCTTATGTAATTTTAATATGGAATTTAAATTTTAAATGTAAAATAAATAGTGACTGAAATAGGTATCATACCATAAATATTTTTACAAACGTATTTGTATTTTTATAGTGGTGGGCATATCGGGATTTCGAAAATCCAAATTATTTGAATTTGTCAAATCCGGATTTCATGGCCACCTCAAGTATTGTACATAAATGTATTATATTTTTATATAGATAGTTTAGTTATATTATTAAACAATTTAATTTGACTGATAAAAATTATATAGTACCTAGGTAATATATTTTATAATACATTTTTTATATTTTATTAATAAAAATTATACTGACATTTTACGTTTTGTAAGAATAATTGAAGTTTTAAATAAAATAAAACAGCAATTTAAATTTAGTGATTTAAAATATCGGAGACCAAACATCCTATCTTAATCTAATCTTAATTATTAAGTTCCAAGCCATGTCTGTTCATATTAGTTGCTACAGTACCTGGGTAGTTCAGTAGTTTAATAAAAGTTATTATTATATTTTAGTTTGAATAGGTATGAAGTTATTCAATAAAATTACTCCAAGCAACCATTTTTATTACTAACTAAAATATTAAATTTTAATTTATTATAGATATAGCATTATTCATTGATTAAAATATAATATAAGTTCCTAATACAAAGTTAGTATATTTTATTTAACCAACTTAATTGGAACACGTATGGTAAAAATTATTTCAAAAATAATGTAGTGATTTAAAATAAATACCTATCCATAATTTATTAAGAAAACCATGTACACCTTTTTATAAAAATGTTAAGTCAACAAATATAAAATATGGACAATTTAGTTTAAAAAAAAAAAACGATATATTTATACTAATACATTTTAAATTAAATCACCCGATCTCAATTGGGACACAAAATAATTATTTAAAAATTAAATTTAAACAACCTCAAGGACTAAAATAAATCGAATATTACTCAATAATTGGTAGGTAGGCAAGCCATACATGCGCAAACATAATGGAATAATTATGGTCGCAAGAAACCGTTTGGGTCAGTAATCATAAATCAATCGTTTCGCCAAAGTCTGGGTGAAATCGTGAAAACTTTCACGTAAACAAATAGTAAGCCGTTTCAAAAATGTATACAATTCGGAGACGGAATATCGACGTAAAAAAGTCGGGACTGTCGATGGAATAAAATGGGTTCCCTAACAATCCTTTGTCCGGATGCGAGTACTTCAAGCTCGTTACACGACTATTGCGTCTTACTTACTAGTTACTGGAGCGAGACCAGACAAGTCCGTCCGGGTTGTACTTGGGCTGATCGGGATCTTTGGGAATTCGGGCAATCGACGATGCTTCGAACGGTCCACTACAACAGATTGCTAGGCAGCCACGACAAGCGATCACGAACGGTTGACGGGAAAAGTCGAAGAGCCAAAACACGAATATCCACTCCGACTTTTGATTATGACGAATTAATTCTGACAAGGTAGAAATGAGCCAATAATATTGAATGCAAAACAGCCATTAGAACATCTGTGAGCCTCAATAATAATAATAATAATAGTAATAATAAAATGAAAGAAAGAAAATGTCATGCGCACAACTCGTTATCTGATAGCGATCAGCTGACGCGCATCCGACTGGAAGGTACGCGGTGAATTTGAATTATTATAAGAAATCCGTAAAAGTGTTGGCTTTCATATTTAACCGTTTAGTCGGTGAACATATTTTCACTCATAGACCCTCAAATAATTTTACAGCCTATGATTTCACATCTCATCGTCGCACCGGATTAAATAAGTCAACATATTATTCAAAAATAATATATTATTGGTTTTAAATAAATGCACTGCAGATATTTGAAACCAGTACATCAGCTCTATTTGTGAACTTAGAGGATGCCTAGTCAATTTTAGTATTCTTCATTTGACTATTTTCAAAACTTTATAATTAAGATAATTTGTTTATTTAATTAAAATAATACTTATACTATCAAATGGTGTTTTTTCATGATGATTTATTTTTATGTTAATATATGTTAAGATGATTTCAACAAAAATGTACACAGTATGAGCATTCAACAGTCTGACATAATAATATTTATTATGTACACCACTCACAAACATGTTGTGTTTATTGGTAATAATCACATTTTGTAAATCTAATATTAATATTATATTATAATGCTTTGCAATGTATTTTCTAAATATGTTTGATAAGTATTTCAAACATTAGTAATTGATACATAATATGCTACTTAATTTTTTTTTTTTTTGCTGTTTTTAGGAAAGTGGTAATTTTCACATTTTTTGCAATAGTGAAAAAAAATAGGTTTTAAATTAATTTTCTTATAGTTATTTAATTTGCTTTATTGCCTTAAATAATGACAATTTTTAATCTTTGTTATGTAAATGTACTGGTTTCTATACTCTGTTCAAAATAAGATCGTGACCCGGCGGCGACCAGTTTTCGTCGGGCGGCGGTCAGACATATGGCCAGATGCCGTCCCCACTACAGCGACGCGTCGAGCGCAGCCACGGAAAAAAGCCACGCCCATGCGCACAACTCGGCCGCCGGGTCACGATCTTATTTTGAACAGAGTATAAGTCTTAAATACCTAATAATGAAATGAACAATATATACGAATTGTATTAGCTATTGCAAACTATATTGAGTCATTGTTCCACCGTTACTTTTGATAACTTACAATTTAACTACCAGTGGGCAGCAATGAGTAGTACTAACACCTCATAATGATGCTGTTCTAAAATTAAATTTAAAATTTAAAATAATATTTATAAATATGTAATTTAGTATACAAAACCAACATTTATTAAAGTTTTTTATTTTATCATTAAAGATTTAATTTTAAAAGCTCTTTTGGGCAACCGTTTGTAAACTTGAATTCATAAATTCTTATACACTTTTAATTGATTACTTCTTTAAATGGTAAAAAAAAAGGTAACAATATAAATACCAGCAAATAGACAAACATCCATATAATTCTTAGTAAAATTATATATTATTATTAATATAATGTACATTTAATTAATTACATTTTTTCAACCTATAAAATGTTTTTAAGTTTCTCATTAAAAGGATAATATTTAAATTTATAATAATGATAAAAATAGTATATATATGGACTAAACAGAAATTTGAATAATTAGATTTGGAGATATTTTATTTATAGTAATTTGAGTTGATATTGACTATGTATGTAAATATACATATTTATAGTCTGTATAAATTAATTAAATAAATACACTCAAGTCTCTAGATGTATCATCACTACTAGAACTTCCAGATGTCAATGTTTCTTCTTTTACTTTAATAATTGTATTATCTTCTTTACTTTTTTCCTTCAATTTATCTTGCTTATGCTTGTGTTCATGTTTGTGTTTATGCTTGTGCTTATGTTTTTTTTTGTCTTTCTTCTTTTTCTTACTCTAAAAAAAGTTATGAAATAGTTATTTAATTTTTCATCAAAATAAACATTTAAATTTAACATACAGAATTACTGGTTCCATCTATTTTACTATGATGATGATGATGGTGATGATGGTGATGATGATGGTGTTTATTTTCACTTTGTACAACTACAGGTTTATTGGACTGATCTTCAGGTTTTACATTAAACATTCCGGGTTCAAAACCAACCGGACCAGTAGAATTGGATATCAAAATTCCAGGAAGTGAAGCAGAATTTTCAGAGAAATAACCTGTCTTAGACTTGTTTTCATTCAATTCAAATGACGGCCTGATATTGGAAACTAAGTTGACTTCTTGAAGTTCATTAATTAACTCTTCACTTTCTTTTTTGACCTCAACCTTAAACATAGTTTAAATCAAACAAATTAAGTGAAATATAGTCATGGAGCAGTAAAACAATTTTACAATTTAAATTAAACTATACCTTAATTTTCTTATCAAAATGTAAATGATCACTAAATTCATTTTCTAAATTATCACTTTCAACTTTTATCTGATCAACAATTTCTGGAACATCTAATTCTCCTTCATCAATAAGTCGTTTGATACCACGTTCACTATTAGAATTATTATCTGGTTCAACAATAATATTTGGAAGAGTACAAGATTTTGCCTAATATACACAAAAATTAATTAAATTTTAAACACAGTAAATATTTTTTTATCAATAAAATAAAATTTAACCTCTACTTCAACTTTGATTGGTTTGTACAATGCCGCAACTTCCGCACGTAAAATTTTTTGACGTCCAAATAAAGTATAATATAAGTCAACAAAATTACACCGCAATGTAGTATCATAAGATAACAATGAACTAAAACAGTAAATTACAATTTAACATTTTAGATTCTGAGCGGAGCGATGAATGTATTGGTTTTACAATGATGTGTGTTTTTATATTTTTATATTTGTATATTTTATATTTTTATATTTTTGTGTCTGTCATCACGTTTTGGGACAGTAAAAGTGCTTCGATTTTCTCAATAGTACCTTTCTGATAGGAAAGTGAATCTAGTTGGTACTTTGGGGGGTCAAAGTAAACATTTTCCAGTAGTTTTCACAAGCGCCGGGAGAAACAACATAAAAATTAAGGAAAAACGGGAATTTTTACGCAAATCGATTTTCCAAAAAATCGAATTTGGTTTTGGTGTAACTTTAAAACAAATGACTGTAGATACATGAAATTGTCACTGGTTGTTTATATTTGCATTTTCTATCACGATAACATTTTCAAAATATTTTGATTTATTTTGAACTGTTTAGGGACATTTTCATTTTTCATTTTTTTTTAGTTTTTTTTCTAGAAATATCAATAAAATTTTATTTGTTGGTTGCGAAAGCTTGAAAATTTAATAGAAGGCTCCTAATATGTTGTTTTAAAGGCAGATGAAAAATATTAAAAATCCTTAGTCACAATTTTTTTTTATAAGCATTTAAAGTTCAAAAATTGACAAAATATGGAAAAAATCACGAAAATTAGCAAATTATTTTGAGTTAAGAATTCGTAAAAATTTTTCTTTTTAAATCTAAGATTTGAAAATGAAACACAAGATTCCTTATAAGATTATCTACCTTTATCAATAAAAAAATCTCTACCGGACAGTCAAGTTAAATTTTTATGAGCGTTTGAAATTCAAATTTTTACAACATTGGATATTCACTCGATTACTCATGTAGCGATTTCCTTATTTTGTTGCAATTCAAAAACGAACAACTGTAGATACATGAAAATTTCACTCAATGTTTAAATTAGCATTTTCTATACACCATACAATTTTGAAAATATTTTGACTCTTTTTGAGATGTTTATGGACATTTACAGCTTTCAATTTTTTTTAGTTTTTTTTTCTATAAATATCAATAAAGTTTTATCTGTTGGGCCAAAAAGTGTAAAAATTGAATACAAGGCTCCTGATATATTGTTACAATAGCAGTTGAAAAATATTAAAAATACATAGGCACAGTTTTTTTTTATAAGCATTTAAAGATCAAATTTTGACAAAATTTATCAAAATCTCGAAAATTATCAATCATTGTAATTAATAAATTATAAAATGTTCAGTTTTTATAGCTAAGGATTGCAAATTCAACACAAAGGTTCTCGTAAATAGTTCATACTGTAACCAAAAAATCTAAAAAATATATGAACACACTTATTTTTTACAGACATTTTAAATTCAAATTTGGACGAAATTACATATTAAAAAACCTAGAATAACTATTTTAGTTATTTGTGTGTGTATTGAATAATTATTATTTGTGGGTACTTGAAACTTCAAAGTGTACTATATATATCTTGATTACAGGTTTTTTTGAGTGTATAACGTTTTAGTAATTTATGTGAATGATTAATTTGATTTTATAGGACCGTATTAGGTCATTTTTGTTTATACCATAGATAATATAAATGTCTTATACATAGATGACTACTGTCCCCGCTCAGAATCGTTTTTCTTATAAATGATATATATCATTACAAATGTAATACATCATTAACATGACCCACTTGTACCTACTTACAGCAGATACACCATTCCAACTTTTTTTTTTTTAAAGTTTGTAATTTAATTTTAGGTTCTGAGTGTAATGGTTTTACAAGGAATAAAGATACGTTTAACTTTTGTGTGTCTTTATTCTTTCTGGAAGAATCTAGTATCAAGGTTCTTCAAAAGTTTAAAATGTACAAGTCATAAATGAAAATTAATAAGTAAAATATTCATCAAGTATTTTTAATAGAATTTTCAGGACATGATAAGTTTTTGAAAATATTTTGGTTTGTCTATAATTTCATCAAGTAATAAAAAATCCAGTACCTAGATCACTTTCATTCAAATTTTTTTTTATAGAATTCCGGCATTTAGATGCTACCCCTCCCCAAACATCTACTGCCGAGGCAGGTGCCCTTAAAACCCTGTCTAATCCAGCCCTCCATATTTTTATGTACTTACTTGATAAGTTTCCATAAGTGATGAGATAGATAATCATTGTTTAATCGGTTATTTGGTTTTTTAGGTGTAAATGGTGGATTTTTACACAACATGCGAACAAGCTCATTCCTAACTTTTGGATCTGGATCACTGTCTGCTATGTCTATAAGATACTTTAAATCATCCCAACGTCCATCTAAGCAAGTGAAATCAACTAAAGCTTCTAATGCACAAAGTCTTACTCCTAAAAAAAAAAAGTATTAAAACAAGTATTAATAATACACTACTCCAGTTAAATTCAAACCAATAAAATTTCCATATGATGAGTAAGAACGAAATATATTAGGATTATTGGGCAAATGACCAAATTTTTGTAATTTTCTGATAGCTTTTAAACAGGTAATTGTTATAGGATATTTGTAGGTCTGCAGACGTTTTTCCAAGTTTAAGTGCTGTGTAATTTCTTCAAGTATTAATTTTGAATCCCCAGAGAGTGAATCTGCAGTAATATCACAGCTAAAAAATAATGTATTTTAAGTTATGCAATGATAAAATTAAGAATATTTAAATAATTTAAGTACTTTAGGCGATTCATTTCCAATAATAATAATTACATTTTGTTACTTACGCTTTTTGCATTAAAGATATAACTGGTGTAATTGTTGCACCAAGAGCATCAATTAGTGAAGCTCTATAATAATTATCAGAGTATCTATTTTTACTATTATCATTGTACTTGAATAGATCTAATATGAATTTCAAGATTTCAGGGGGACAAATTCCATGAGAATTTCTCAAACCTGCCATTGCAATTGGAATTGTCTAAGACAAACAATTTCAAATTAGGTATTTAAAAGATTATTATTACTTCTTAATGCAAGTACCTTCTGTAGATAGTAATGTTGTAGATTGGAGAAATTATTTTGTTTTATTATATGCGGACATGAAAATGAACCAAACATTTTTTTAAATGTTGCTAACATTGCTGGAGGTCCAGTCCAATTAGTGACCATTGCATTTGCAATCTAAAATCAGAAAAATAGAATGATAGTAATCATGCATAATAGGCAATTAGACATTTGTAATTACAGTATGAAGTTAGCTTAGTTACTTAGTTAAACAGTGAGCAGCTTTACACCGCACATGAATATACACTTGTTCATTTTCAATAATATCACATAAAGCATTACGTGTAGCAATTGTAGGAAATTTATCAAGAGCTACCACTGCTTCCATTTGGGCAGTTACATCTTTTTCATGTCGCAATTGGTAATTCCACTGGTACTCAGGTTGTTCAATAATACAACTACGTAAAATAGTCATCTCAGGATCTAATCGAATCCATAATACTGGTGAGTCATTACTGAAATACAATTAGTTGTAACAATATGTTTATATAATATTAATAATGGATAATAAATTATTTAATGTTTACTTACTCCATAGCATTTAAATCAATATCTACTTCATCCCCCGTACACAAAGGAATTTTCTTTTTCTTATTACGTCTACTTTTTGAATGACAGGTAATATCTGCTCGAGCTACATTACCTTCAACTTGCAAAGTATGTTTAAATGGACCATCCAATTCTTGAATGCTAACTAATAATGGGCCAACATATTTACGAATGCCTCGTTGACAAACAGCATCTTGTTTAATTTCTAATTCCAATGTATTCCTAAAACAGATCTAATATGTAAAATAAGTAAAAACAATTTAAATAAAAGTACTAAACCTTTTTCTATTGAACACAAAGGTACAAGTAAATTTAGCGTGACCACCAGTTCTAACCCATTGATCAATAAATACAGACATATCTATGCCTGATACAGTAAAAATAGTCTTGTTAAATATATTTGTACTGATTAACATGTGACCCCATAAACCTGAGTTCATTGGATTTTGAGATGCATTGCTTGCTAAAGATAAATGCTTGTTCAAAACCTTTAAAAATAATAATTTTATGAACGAAGGTAATATACCTAAAATATATTCAAAATGTTTAATGTTAATATATATATTATGTTTTAATTTATAAAAAGCTGAAGTAAAATGCAAAATATAAATTAATTGAATAGTAATTTTAATCAATGGCAATAATAATTTGAAGTACATTACAATTTATGTTAGATTAGATTAAATCAAAATTCTACCTGCAACAATAATGAATAGCCAATTCGATTTTCTAACATTCTTAATACAAGATGTGCCTTTTTAGTCATGTAATGAAAATAACGAGGTGATATTGTATGTAAGCTACGCGTAGAGAAATAAAAATTTGAGGTTTCATTAGTATTTTGCACATTATTGAAAGATAATGAAAATCCAGGATTAGAAGTTCCTCCTGGACTGACGAGACCACTACTTGTTGGAGCAGGTTGTTGGGTTGGATCTAATACTATAGGTCCTATTTCTTCTTCATATCGTACCAAACTTGTTAATTCCTACATTAATAATATCAATAATTTCAATAAATTAATCATATGACAAATGTACGAACAAAATAATTTTAAAGATACATACGTTGTGAATCCATTCACGATAAGAATTATTGCCAAAACATTTTTTTGCAAAAAGACCAGACATGTATAATGCTATACCGCACGTTAGCCACCAATCTGACCAATTTTGAGTAGAAATAAAACAACCGAAAAATTGCTCTGCCATAACTTGTGCCAAGATTTTTTTAGAAATATATACTTGATCAATAATTTGTTTTGGATGTAGAAGATTAACACTGCAAAAATTGTTTATTGTTAAAAATTAACAAATGGGTCTAGAATTTTACTTTCATATTTTTTAAATACTTAACCTCATGATGCCCATTGATGCATACGATGCATAATCTGTAGGAGTTTCATCAACAAATACTTGTTTATAACAACTATAAGGATAACCGTTAGATAACGTATCTTCATAAAATTCTAATGCTTCATGGGTGTACTTTGCAGCGGTAGGTAGAAGTTCAGAAAGTCCCGGCAAACAGAAGTGAGTTATAATATGCATGGTTGGGTCAACATAAATTTCAAAAGGTCTAAAGTATATAATATATTATTTAATATCACACTAAGATTTTAATTATTTTTAAATAGTTACCCCACTGCTAAGGCTATATTTGGTGCACAAGTGGGCATTGATAAACTATAATAATATGTTTTACGCCTTAAATCAGGAGCTGCAACAACTTCAATTAAATCTCCACAAGATACTGCCGTCATATTTTCATCAACTGTAAATTCTAAATCCCATGTACACGGTTCGGCATAACTATCGACACAAGGAAACCATAGTCGAGATGAGTTTTCAAAACACATTGTAAACATATGAGCTCGTCTCTAAACGTAAACAAAGTCATATTTTAAAACAAAATATAAATATTTTATATCTTTATATAGGTACAATTTTATATATTTTTACCTCAACTAAAGATCCATCTCCTTCTGGAATAACAAAATGGACACCTCCACTAGGCTGCTCCAAAGAATATTCTACACTTACTTTAATACTTGTTCCATCACTCACAGATGTTGTAACTTCTGCAGGTAGACTTATAACTAATTCCCCATTATTGTTATCAGGTTCAGTTATCTGAGCAGCATTTAAATGAGACGCAGAAAATGCGGTTAATGTAGGTCTAAAAAGAAATAGTAATGACATTTAAATTATTTAAAAAAAAATTACCTATTAGAAATTAAATATTTAAATTGTAGGTAAATGCTTACTCTTCATCTTTATTTTGAGTAATGTCAACAAATGGATCAAAATATTGAAAAGGAACTTCAATATTTTCATTAACAGTTACGCGATATATCCGACATTGTTTTGCATTTAGTTTTATAAATTGAAGATTATTTTTCAATGGTATAATTGTTAGCTCTACCATTCCCTAAAGCAAAATAATAAAATTGTATATACCAACTTATAAAGTTATTGTTCCAAAAATAAACAAATAATAATATTTATACTTATTTACCAATATATTTTTTCGTTGAAAACTAATGCCTGTTAAACTAACCAATTGATGGGCTGTAAAATTTTTAAAACATTAATATTATTAATATATACCAAATTGTTTAAAATAATTAAAATAATTTTTAATTCTGTAAATATGTGACTATTTTAGTTTATAAGGTAGTGTTATTAACAAATCTAAAATAAAATTTAATAAATTAATGTTGTAATATGATTAGATAATAAGAATTTTGGAAATTACACGACTTCAATTTAATTTAGTATCGATTTAACAAATCAATTTTCAAAAAAAATATTGCCAATGTGAGAATTGTTCCAAATTTCCTATTGAACAGAAATTGTATTTTACAGTCAATTAGGTTTAGAGGTCCAAAGTATAAGTTAATTTTCAAATCTCCTTCGAGAAATTTGGGTTGATTCAAAGCCGATAGTTTAATACCACCCACATTGGGCCAATTTAGCAAATTCAACACAAATTTGAGCTCTTAATAAAACAGTAAAATTGTGTCATTGGAGGTGACAACAATTTCGATGACAAAATACTTATAGTTTATAAGGCCTTGCGGTGTCTCCTGTTTTATCTTTCTTCATGGTGGTTGTTGTATATGATTTTGATTTTTTAGTTGTTTTGTGGTATGATCGATGACTACAGCAACAAGCATCTAAGGGACAGTTGTCGGCACATCATTCGTTAATAATGAATTAAAAAATACATATTACACCCGCACAAAACGTTAAAGTTGTCGTTAGAACCTAGAGTGAAGTCACACAGTGTTATAACAAATGACAAATTCTATAAAAGATTTATAGAGTTTGGTAATAATTATTAATCGTCTGAAATTTGAAAGAATATCGTAACATTTAAAAATCTAGACGAACCACAGCCAGTGGATTTTTGACTATAAAAAGACGTAATAACATCAGTTACTAATGAACTCAGAACTACTGTCAACTACTCAACTACTCAGTACTCATTACCAGTCGGCAGTCAACAACTTACTCTATAATCTATTATTTTTTATCACGTCAGACAATTTTATCTTCTTCAAACATCCAAAGCCGTTAAATGCATACGAACAAGTGTCGCAATTCGGTGGTACAGTAGTTGTTGTTAGGTCAAAACGTAAAATAGTAAATTCGATAACCAATCACAGCGCAGCCGACGCTCGCCACCAGGGGGGTCAGATGGCTGCCGGCGGTTGCGTCCTCGAAAGTAGGAATTCTTATTCTGAATAGAGTATACTGTATCGTATAAGAATACATATAGGACCTCCGACTTTGGATGAAGTAAAAAAAATAACATTTTAAATCAATGAAAAATAAATAATTTCTATTATTTTTTATTATACATAAATTATTTGACAATATTCAAGTACAAATGGTAATTGAACACTCCATTTATACATGTTTCAATAAAAGCTTAACCCTTGTTGTTATTATTATTGTTGTTGCTTTAAAATTTAAATTAAAAGATATTATTTACCTAATAAATAATCGTTCATACTTAAAGTTAAGATAGGCGATATGAATAGGAAATCTATATGTTCTTTTTTGGTATTAATTATTTAAACTCGAAAATATTATAAGTAGATATATATATGCAGTGGCGTCCGCAGGGGGGGAGGGCTAAAGGGCTGAAGCCCCCCCCCATTGCCCGTATTATTGTTACTTTTTAAAAAAAATATTAACTCTTTGAGGGGCGAAAATTTCCTTTAGAAAAAAGACCCATGTGGGCAATATGTCTCTTTACCATAACATTTAGTACGTATATCAAAATATCGATAATGATAATAAATGATGAAAAACGCGAGAAATGATATCAGACCAGCGGCAGTGATATTGTTTGATGCATGTATAAGATGATAATAAGGTGATTGGTATGCTGACCATCATCAAAAAAATATTAAAAATAATTTTAAAAGTGGTTAAAATAGTAACCACCGCACCTGAACGGTAAAAAAAAAAGTGGTTAGCATACTAACTACGGCCCCTCAAAGAGTTAATCAAGTTAAACTGTCAACTATAGTAAGCAAGAAGTAAATTTCATATATGTCTTACCAGAATGAATTCATTTTTGAAAGAAATTTGTATTTGCATACCAATTTTCATAAATTATCTGTAATTTTTAGGTTAAAGTATGAACTACTTGTATGAAAGACCTTGTATTAAATTGTCTAGCCTTAGCTATATATATTTTATATTTTATAAGTTTTAAACTACAAATTAACTGTCATTTTGACGAAATTTGAACTTTAAATGCTTATAAAAAATAACCATGGTGCCTATGTAGTGTTTGAAGTATGAAATATTTCACAAAAACGTGACACATTGAAATTTTTTTACACAAATAAAAACACAATTTATTTATTATTTTAACACAATGTTCAGTGTTCTAAATTCTAATGACAGAATTCAGTATTTATACAATATGCATGTATAATATTGTATACATACTTGTATCATTTAAACATTAAAATATTTAAAAATGTTAAATACCATTTACATACACCAGTACATACACTTCATACATACAGTTAAGAAGGTAATTTATGACAATTATTTGTAAATATAAAACTTATTTAAAAATAAAACAAAATATATCAAAATACTGAAATATTTCATTTTTTTAAATTTCATGAAATTTTTTCACACTATGCCTATGTATCGTTAATATTTTAGCTATAAAAAAATAACTTACGTATTACATTTTTAAGATATTTCACCGGATAAATAATTTTTTATTGACATTTATAGAAAAAAAAATTTAATTATTCAAATACAATCCAAGTGAAGACGGTATAACCAAACATTTAAATAAATTTTCATTTTTTTTTCTCCAATTATTTTTAAAAGCACTGAGCATTTTCAATTTCGACCTCCTAAAAGTACAAACTAGATCCAATTTGCTTCCAAAAACATACACTGGGCATCGAAGCTTATGATCAGAGCATTTTTTCTACCAGAAAAGTTGAAAAGTTACAAACATTTTAAAATACCTCAAATAAACGTCAGAAATTATTAGACTGGACAAAATAAAAATGTAACTAATTTTCAAGCCCCCCCCCCCCCCATTGAAAAATCCTTCGGACGCCACTGTATATATGTATAGGTAGGTACTAAATTACAATAACTAAATGTATAATGGCCTCTACGGGAGCAGGAATAAATGATTATTCAGAGAGCATCAGGTTATCAATAATTAAAAACCTCTACAAAAAACACAACAGTTAAATTCATTTTGAAAAAAATTGAAGGAGGGTGTTGGCAGTTTGGCCCATGCAGGCAAATGCATGTTTGAAAACAAAAACAAGGGCCCTACCTAAAGTGTGTAAAAACGATTTACCTGTACTATTTACAACGGTATTGACCAATTTGTTATTTGTTGTTTGCTTTTTTCAAAGTACTTATAGGTACCTACTGTACCTAGTGTGTAAAATTAAACATTTTACACCGATATACCTATTAGCTATTGATGCAGTGTTATTAATTTGTATAAATGTATAATATTGCCTATATTTTCAATAATTGTGCTCACTTAAAATTTAAATAAAACTAATTAGGTAGGGACCTATTATAAAATAATATATATATAGGTAACGATTATTTTAGATTCTAAGTGGAACGATAAATGTATTGATTTTACAATGATGTGTGTTTTTTTATTTTTTTATTTTTTTTTGTGTGTCACCTTTTAGGACAGTAAAAGTGCTTGGATTTCTTCAACAGTAGGTATCTTTTCTGATAAGAAAGTGAATCTAGTTGGTACTTTGGGGGGTCAAAAGTAAAAACTTTCAAGTAGTATTCAAAAACGCTGTGAAAAACAAAACAAAAATTAAGGAAAAACTGGAATTTTTATACAAAATCTGTTTTCGAAAAAATCGATTTTGGTTTTTGGTGCAACCCTTAAACAAATGACCGTAGATACATGAAATTTTGACTGAATGTTTATATTATCATTTTCTATACACGATAAAATGTTCAAATTATTATTTGAAGTGTTTAGGAACATTTTCATTTTCCATTTTTAGATTCTGAGTGGAACGATGAATGTATTGATTTTACAATGATGTGTGTTTTTATTTTTATTTTTTAATTTTTTAATTTTTGTGTCTGTGTACACGATAAGTAGTCGAAATAATTCTTCGATTTTCGACTTCAGTATCTTGTTCGATTGATAAGTGAATATCGTTGGTGCATTGGGGAGGTCAAAATTTAAAATTCCCAGTACTTTTCAAAAGCGCCAAGAAAAACAAAAGAAAAATTAAGGAAAACCGGGAATTTTTACGCAAAATTTTTGGTGTAACTTTAAAACAAATGACATAAACAGAGGCGTTCTCAGGATATTTCAATGGAGGGGGATGAAAAAAATGGTTTCAAAATAAGCCGTACCTAAGGGTTTTGCCTCACAACTCCCATATTATAATAATGAATATTAAAAAAGCGGGTAAGTGGATGTCGCTCTGCTGTACAGTAGATTACAATACTTAGTCACTATATAATAGATTGTATTAAATTTGAATTCAATGATATCATATCATTGTATACGAAAAACGATTCTGAGCGGAGACGGTTTGTCAGTCTGGATATTTTATATTGTAATTATATTTTATTATAGCCTGTAAGTTGAATTAATATTATAAATTAAGATAAAATAACTAAAATCATTATTTTTATTTTATTTGTTACAATGGTGATAAACAAAGTGTTAGAAATTGAAATCACATTTTTAGCGGTTTTTGAAATTTGTCGGTGAAATTGTAATGTGTCATTAAATAAATATTGAGAAAATTGAAAAATTACCTCTCTAAAGTACCATCTTGATAAAATTTGCTAAAAGAAAAGATATACTATATGTTAAAAGCGAAGAACTGCTTCTGGTAGAAATTTTGTATGCAGGAAAAAATAAAAATAAATATAAACAATATTGAAAAACCAATAGATCCCTCACTCCGCTCAGAATCTAATAATATTGATAGTAATATAGTTGATAATATCAAATAATCAATTCAAGTCATATTTATTGTTCTTTTTATTTAAACTATAAAAGAATGTTATGAATCAGTTTAAATCAGGAATGAAAAATGTTTTTAATTTTATCGTTTTTGTTTTTGATTAACGTTTTTAAAAACGTTATTTTTCTATATTGTTTTTGATAATATTGTTTTTTATTTATAGTAGTAAATTTAGCAATTTAGAAATGCACTTAAGAGTTAAAAATTAAATTAAATTATTCTTGATTTCAAATAAAAATGTTTTTAAATTTAATAGAGCATTGTTGGTAAAGATTAAAAAGTAAATACTTAAGTAACATTTTTTTTTACGTGTTATTAATATAATAATGTATAATACTATAATTTATTTGCGTTTTCGTTTTCGTAATTAATTTTTTTTCTGTTTTTAGGATTTTTTGTTATGGTTTTTTGTTTTTGTTTTATTCATTGTTTTCGTTTTTTTTCCGTTTACTAACGTTTTTTAAAAACGTTTTCCATCCCTGGTTTAAATTATTTATTTTATTTTATCACTGTGGTGTTATCATTGTGAATCTTACCTTTACATTTTTTCTGACGCTGGGAATTTATAAAGTTGACGGAGTGATTGTTTACAAAAATACAGTACAAATCAATTGTAAAGCGAATTGCCTGTTACATGTTATAATTATCAGTGATAAATAATAATATTGTTTATGGCTGGTGGAATCAATAATCACGATAAAGAAAAATTGCAAAAAAAAAATAAAATAATAACTACCAAGTCAATATTGAAAACACAAACACATATCAGAAGTAGACAAAACGTGTATTACTAATATGATAAAAATAAAGAACCTTGGGGGGGGATCTATCCCCCATATCCCCCCCCGTGAGAACGCCCATGGACATAAATGTATATATGAAATTTATTTTTTATTTATGTAATACATGAAATTTTCACTGGTCGTTTATATTTGCATTTTCTATACACGATAACATTTTCAAAATATTTTGATTTATTTTGAACTGTTTAGGGACATTTTCATTTTTCATTTTTTTTTAGTTTTATTTCTAGAAATATCAATAAAATTGTATTGGTCTGTTAAAAAAACTTGAAAATTTAATAGAAGGCTCCTAGTATATTGTTTCAAAGGCAGATGAAAAATATTAAAAATCGTTAGTCACAGTTTTTTTTTATAAGCATTTAAAGTTCAAAAATTGACAAAATATGGAAAAATCACGAAAATTAGCAAATTATTTTGAGTTAAGAATTCGTAAAATTTTTTCTTTTTAAATCTAAGATTTGAAAATGTAATACAAGATTACTCATAAGTTTGTCTACCTTTATCAATAAAAAAATCTCTACCGGACAGTCAAATTCAATTTTTATGAGCGTTTGAAATTCAAATTTTTACAACATTGGATGTTCACTCGATTTCTCATGTAGCGATTTCCTTATTTTGTTGTTATTCATAAATGAATAACTATAGATACATGAAAATTTCACTGAATGTTTATATTAGCATTTCCTA